TTTTTCGTTTTTATGTAGATTGACTCCAAAACTGCTAGATGGAAGGACGACCGGGCTCTGCCAATTATCCGAAACATGTCGTCATTATAGAGTTTAGCACAATCTGGGTTGTCTAAAAGATGTTGACCAATGGCAGAATCACTTGTTTTAACAGTGTTTCTAGACCTACAAGATCGAGGAGGCTGTTCTCTTTGAGGGGCAGTTTTGTTTCGTATGTTGGAAGGAACATGCTGTTTTATCCTATCCCCAATCTTTGGGTTGTGCGCCCTACGTAGCCAGAATCACACTGGCACGTAAATTCATAAATGACGGAACTTTTTTGTTTGGTAGGGACGCAATCCTTTTGAATGGATGGAAGGGCTCTCCTAGTGCTGTAAACAATCCGAGGATTGACAGCAAAGAAACAATTGGTTATGGCTTGCCTAATTTGACTCTCGAATCGCAAGGAAGTGTTACCAATCCATGGTAGTTTCAAATAAACTGGGCACTTTTGCGGACCAAACTTTTGAACAGCCGAAAAACTTGCGATCTTCTCCTTAGTATAAGATAAAATGACGTCTTCAGGATAGCCGTTGTCCAAGAAGATCGTTTTGAGTTTTTTCCAGTTCAGCGTGCAGTTTAGATTTCGAGCAGATCATAAGTGCCCTATGTACTAATGTTTTGACAAGGTTGACTTTGCGTTGTTTTGGGCAAAATGAATTCCAGCGTATGTACTGACCGGTAAAAGTAGGCTTGCGATATACACTGGTAAGAAATCCAGTGTTAGACTTTTCGACCAAAACATCTAAAAATGGTAAGGAATCATTTTCTTCCTTTTCAAACGTAAACTGGAGGGCTGGGTGTAGGCTATTTAGGTGTTTTAGAAAAATATCACACTCAGCCTCTGTTTTGAAAATGTTATATGTGTCATCCACATACCGAAAATAGACACCTGGCTTTTGGTCGTAGTCGAACAAACGCTCTTCATGAAAGCCAACAAAGATATTGGCCAAGGCAGGTCCCAGAGGGCTACCCATAGCGACACCATCCTTTTGTTGGTACATTTCATTGTTAAAACTGAATTCAACTGAACGTGTTGCAGTTTCCATCAGTTCAATGAATACTTCCTCTGGTTTTTCAAACGTGTTTTTTCGGAACCTATTCTGACGTTTTATGCTCTGAGGAGTGTCAGACGAAAAAGCTTTTAGTATGTTGTAAAATGTTTGCTTTTTTCAAAGCCATTTTCAAATTCTGTACCGCAAAAAAATTGTTCACATAAATGAAATTGCATCATTGAGCAGAGCTTCAATGTCAACCAAAGCTTTAATATTAATATTTTCGGTTATCTAAGCCTCTAAGCTCAATTACGACCAACAAATCCGTAGGAAACTAGATAACGCATGGGCTCCGACGCTGGTTGGAAAGTTTGGGGGGGGGCAAGGGAGATTTTAACAATCATAACAAAATTTTTTAAAAAAGTTATATTGTCTCGCTAATTAGTGGGGGTATGGCACCCCCCCATGGCCCCCTTCGTCAGAGGCCCTGTAATACCCCCTGCTTGCAGCAGAGTTATCCAGATTTACCCCCACACCCGTAAGTCTTTGATTGTAAAGAAAGGCAAAGTATTCACACTCTTCATTTCTAGATTTATCCCTCCCCCTTATTTCTGTCGCTGACGCACAAATTAGCAAGTTTAGTTTATTATCTAAACTCTGAAATAATTTCAAATTTGCATAGTGTTCTTGGTTGTTTGAAATATGCTGATTTAAAACAACTGGCAAGGAAAAAGGCAGGGGCAGAACTGATGCTGATTACTGAAACCTTACTCATTTGAAAATATCATAGACTGGTCTAATTCGAGTCATATTTTTGATGTTATTTGTCACTTCCAAAAATGGAAGTGGTACTGTAACATTGACATTACCAGAATTCTGAAAATATGTCTTGTTCATCATAAGAAATCCCTTTGCCTGTCTTAAATAATGACCCCTTAGAATAAAAAAGTTTTTGGTGGGGTTGGATCAACCAAATGTTATTTTTTTTATTCAAAAATGTCTGAATTACGAATTAAAAACTTTTCTTTAACTTGCATGTCACTGAACAGAACAGTGAAAGATTACTTTAGTTATCAAAATGGGAAACTTAAGGGCACTTTAAGGTATTCACAGCTAAGCAAACATCCCCTTTAAATCATGCACATACATCTGCAAAATAAGAAATGGTCAATCAGATAACTTCAGTGAATGCCATATGTTCTTGATTTATTAGGGAAAGTGAAGGAAAATTCAAGTAATAGAAACATAATTTATTGGTTCTTATGAGGTAACCTATAGCATTTTAAGCACTATCTTTTGACTGCTGAACTTATAAAAATTGCTTACTTGAAGCATGCAGCCTTTCTAAATAACAGAGAGAGTGACAGACTTCCTCTTCTATCTTTCTGCATTAGAATGAAGCCTTCTGTCTTTCATACTTTGAACTGGAGTTACAGTGTTGGTGAACAAATTTATATTAGGGGGAGGGGTGCTGCCCGTAGTGTTACTCCCCATTCAGCAAATAGTTCTAAAGGAAATGTAGTAGAGTATTATTGAAAACACACTACTTGCACAAACTGTAGTTATGGTGCAGTCCATGCTGTAGTTATAAAAGGATGTTATGCAGTGATGAATGATCAATGTTTTATCAAATCATCATCGGAAAAGAATGCATTGAATCAACAAAATCAAAATATACACTGCTGTTGGAAATCCAATTTATTATAAATACTTTGATCTATATATCCTGACAGTTGTGGACATGCACCCAATGGTAACTTTCTAAGTTCATTTGTTTTTTTCATTGATACAGCAAAATATGTTTCTGAAATTGTGCCAAATACCTACTTTGTACTTGGTGCAATTGGCAATCAACTGGGGTTTCCCTTTTATTACAAATAACAACCATTGGGTTCCTTTAGACTACCTAATGGACATACTTTGCATAAAACTAGTAACCAAATTGA